GAGATGATACTGCTACACAAGTCTTCAAAATAAAGGCTTTACACAAATTCTGTGAACCTTGATGGCTATGTATATAATTCTTCCAAATGAAACCCAGAGCCTGGTAATTTCTAAGATACGCCAATTCTTTGAAAATAGAGAAATTACTTGTACTAACGTTGCAACTTCAGTACATAGTTAAAAATTATCACCATGCAATTTTTAAGCAGCTGTGTGCAGACATGATCACATACAGACAATTTTTGAAATCTAGCCCTTTCTTCACATGAATAAATACATAATTTTTCTGTTTTCTAAGAATGATTGCTGTAGATTTTCAATAAACACAGGAGTATTACAGAATATTAGTTTCACTGAATCCTCAGAGTGGACTGGAGAACAAATAACCATTTTACAGCCCCTACTGTGTGCCTTTGCAGGTATTCTAGAAATCCGAACAGTGGCAGTTGGAATAGTGGCAATCAAAGGAGTGGAAAGTGAATACTTTCTGGCAATGAACAAGTCAGGAAGACTCTATGGAAAGGTATGGATGTAAACTTCTCTTGTGTGTATCATCATCGTGTACAATCTTAGAGAGACATATTTTTAGATGTAGCGTCTATATAGTTTGTATAACAAATTAAAATGTATTCTGTACTTATTCCATACATCCCATACTAGACTTCTATGTCCGTTTAATGAGTTCAGTGATTAGAGCTTAAATACTTTTTAAAAATGTGGAATATTAAGAGGGAATAGAAAATATTCAATACTCAGATTTCAGAAGTCAAATTCATTTATTAAAAACATTAATAACACGTGAGGTGTGTAATGTATATTCTTCTCCCATCTTCCCTAATCTGCGTATGTAAAAAAATACTTGTACTCATTTTACTCTATTATTTACTCTCAACAGAAAGTATGCAATGAGGACTGCAACTTCATAGAACTGATTGAAGAAAACCATTATAATACATATGCTTCTGCAAAATGGACACACAAAGGAAAGGAGATGTTTGTTACATTAAACCACAAAGGGGTCCCCATGAAAGGTAAAAAAACAAAGAAAGAACACAGAGCATCCCACTTTCTTCCTCTGGCAATATCCTAATCACAAATGACCTATAAAGAACTAGTTCCAGCAGGAAGATTATTTTTAAGAAGACTATTTGACAAGATATCAAGAGAGGCTGGAATACTACTGAGAAACTGAACAAGCTGGACTTGCGCATTTATGTTTATTTTTAAGAGACTACGTGAAAAAGATTTGAAAATATACACAAAACCAGATTTACTAACTAAAAGTTGTAAAAAATTCTAAAGAGTTGTACAATCATTATCTTAGTCATTGTAACTGGGTAGTTTCTTAAATTAATTTACCCTGAAAAGTAAGTCATGACTTGATTATCTGATAATATTTTATTTAAAAAAACTATCTGCTTCTTAAATATGGCTGCTATAATAATAATAAGCAGATGATAATGTTGTGTAAAATATGTCAGACTTTAAGGCTGCTGGAATGAGTTGTCAGATTATCAAGTCAATAGCAAATGTGGAGGCTGAGCAGTATTTTAAATACTTTCCCCAAGAAACTGATATGCTATACATAAACTATATGATCAGAAAAAAAATATATAATCTTGTAAATGTTTATTGTTGTATTCAGATAAAAGAGTTAGTTTGGAAAAATTAAGTTTACTCTACTACAAAATGTTCCTATCTATTAATGAAAGAAGTACCTAATGCTGCTCTAAAAGATGTTTCAAATAGTGTATGTAAAATAAGAATAGGAATAAATAATGTACTTCATCTCACTTTTCACAAATTAACATTTTATATAACGATGAAGCAAAAATTCAGACATATTAAGGTTTTTTATGCAACATATCCTATCTTTTGTATAATTCCTGTTAGGGCATACAGCTTTCAATATTGTTTTCCCATCCTTATACATGCTTTTTCTGTTGTTACAGCATTAAACTTTATTTTAAGTTGTATTTGAACTTTATTATTCTAAGTTATTTAAATGTTATTTATAAAAAAAATACTTACTAAGCTGCATCTGTTTCATATGCTTTTAATTCTAAAGGAATAACAAAACGGTCTGGCTGAGATGCATGAATTTTCTTCTGTGACCAGACACAAAGACTAGTACACAACCCTCTTGCCAACATACATTGGATGGCAGACAAAAATGATAGCCTGCAGCGAATCGTGCAATTGGTATCTCCAAAGAAACCACGCAAAAATGTAAAAAATCTTTGCCACATACTCTTGCTTATTGAATTTAGTAGCATGCTCAGAATTACAGCAGGTAAAAAGAAGGTTACAGTTCCAGCAGGTACTGGAATTAATCCTCAGATGGTAGAATCTACACTCACAGGTACTGAAATATGTAAGATCCTGTATGACTGGTTTGAAACTTCAGCCAAAAGCAACGTGACATGATGAAGAAAAGACATCTTACTTTTCCAGCTATTAAAGTGTTCAACTGAGCCCTACATGACTAACGCATCATATAGTTTCACACTGTTCAGTTTGCCTACAGGTTTTCTTGTGACAACTGTGCTGAGACAAAGACCACTAAGAATGAGTTAAAGCAGCTGCTAGATGACTGGGATGGAGTGAAGTTAATTTCTAAAGGCCTTAAATGCCCTACTTTTCGTTACAAGTGTCTATAGAGTCAACCAATTTTTCCTACATGAGAAACTTTCTTTATAACAGCACTCACAGAAAATGGCAATACTTCTCTTTAACAAATATTTCTTTTTTAAAAAATAATTGTTTAACAAATACTAGAATTTGGAAATAATTTATGATTTTTGACTTGCTAATATCAAACATCAAAGTGTAGATATAAATGATTCCACGCAGAAAAATGTCAATACAGCTATATCAGTAAACTTTTACTGTACTTTTGCTAGTTTATCTGTGACTTGTTCACTGAACACAACAGACTGTAATATCAAAGAAACTTTTTTGCTGATAACTGTCCGCAATACTTTCCGTGAATACATTAACACTGAAACAAAGATCACACTCATGATCAAGACTAACACACTAGCAAAGGTTTCTAGATCTAAGACAGGTTAGCTGAAGCTTTGAAATAAAAATTAAAAGAAGAAAATCTCATTGTTTGTGCTTAAAAGCTCTACTAAGTTTGAGTTGAAATGTGAACATGTATTTTAATATATGAACATGTATGCTAAAAAAGCTTAAAATTAAAGCCAGATACAGACAAGCTCTTCTAAAGATCTTTTGATTATGTAATTCTAGAATACAGGAATACAGTCAAACAATTCCTGAACCCCAAAGGTAATTAGCCCTTCCTGCTACATGCTTTAGCTAACGAACCACTATATTACCATCATTACCAGGTCACCAAGGCTGCTTTATGTTTTACAGCTGTCATCTCTGAAACGCATCCTGTGAGTGAATGGTTGACAAAAAGACACCAAATGATAGAACCCTTCAGCAGCACAATCACATGGGCTTCCATGTTGCAACAGTTTCCTCACGTTGGCTTAGCAGAGGAGGGGCTGTATTTGAGAAAAATCAGTATTTTGCCTTTCTTTTATGCTTTCTCTTTCATTTCTTCTAGCATTTTAAAAGTCAAACAGACTTAAAGGTTAGAATATATCCTGGGTTGTTCTATTCCAGTGTGTAATGGAAAAGTTGAACAGAAAAGCAAGACCAGATCAACCCAGTTGAGCAATTTTCAACGTATCTCTAACTTAGAAAATATCTTCTGAAATAAAATGTTTCTTTTCAGTTGTCTCAAAAAAAATAAGTTTAGTAATAAAAGCAGAGCATAATCATCAGAAAATTTACAGTGATGACCTACAGTAGCGAAGTATTAAAAGATAAGGATAAAAAAAGAAGAATCTGTTAGATTTTAACAGGTATTCTTCAAACAGATGTCAGAAATCCTCACAAAAGCCTGCTATACGAATTACATCATAATCCAATCTTAACATCAATCACGCAATATACCATGTGGGAGAAAAACAGGTTCGTATGAAAAGAAACAGATATACGTGTCTGGATATGGCTCATCACTAACCTTCATAATATTAAAGGTTCAAGAAAATCCAAACAAAATGGGCTACAAAAGCTACTCTCAAATGTAATTTATTTGTTTTTCCTTCAGATGCATTGGCTTTCACCTAGCTTTTTCTTTGTTTACCACAGACGCTACAAAGCATAAACAGACTGTGGTTTAGGATTGAAATACAAGCTCCTGTGGTTTAAATAGCCATTCTGCTTAGCCACCTTCAATAATCATTCACTTTTCCCAGAAACTGCTCCATTACGCAGGCTCTTTAAAGTTAATTTATATTTGTATTATCGTATTAATTTAATTTGTATTAGTGCTGATAAATACTCTGTGACACAGAAATGAGCTAATCTCATCTGGGGAATCTCGTAGAAGACTGCAGAATCTCCATTCTTGGAGGTTTTCAAGACCTGACTGGACAAAGCCCTAAGCAAATTAGTCTAAAAATCAGTGTCAGCCCTACTTGGAGCAGGAGATTGGACAAGAGACCTGCCTGCAGCACCCTTCCAACCCAAACGAGTCCACGATTCCATACAAAAGTTATTTTTCTCAAATAAACTGCCATTTAGAGTGCAGGTCAACCTCTTTGAACAACCACAAAACGCATTTTCCATGTTAGGTGGATAACTATACATTTGTCTCATAGTTTATCTATAATAACTTGTATGTCATTAAAGGTATGCAAAATGGTGTAAATACATTCCATAACACAATAAAAAATGACAATTGGACAATTTCCATGACCTTTAAAGGACATTATATGGTACAATATGGTCTCACTTTTAGTTCTGTTGCAAGTACTTTAAACACTGCTGTGCACAGCATCTGTAATAATCAGATTACTAAATGATTAATCAACTGAGTAATTATTAAAATACACTTGTCTATGTTTTAAATTACTTTTTGAAGATGTATATTCTTTTTGAATGAGTTGAAGCAAAATGTAAGTTATTGTTAAACCAATAAAGTAATAAGAGAACAATGGTATTTCACTGCACTCAGCGACCAGTATTGAGTAGTCTAAATACTCCATAGGCCTATGCAATCTAACTCCTCAATACTAACTTTTTAAAAAACATAATAATTTCATAACATTTAATAGATGTAGAAAATTAATGTGACAGGTTAGATGATTTTTCCCAAATGAAACAGTCATCATCAGAGTTGAGATCCATACTTAGAACTAACATTACACTTTTTTTTAACTAACATTTAATAACGGAAAAAAAAGTTCAACTGTTTATATCACTATGTGAGTATTAAAGGTAATAGTTATTCAAGTCACATGTTTACTTAAAATGGGAAAAGGTGAATTTATCTGCAGGAAAAAAAGGTAACTTCTCTGTGCTGTTAGTAGAATAATTTTGAAGATTAGGACTGTCTTTAAAGGAGAAACTCAGATCAGAAAATACTCAAGGCATTGCATGAGCTTTTTAACATTACATTTATACTAACTTTCACTCAGCAAAACTTCTGAGTTTTTAAAACCATACATTCAAATTCATATTCTTACATAAAATACAACTGCAGGACTTAATTATAAAAATTTGGAAAAAAAAATCATATAGTATTAAAACGAACAAATGTTAAAACTTGAGCTCTGTAAATTACTTCACAATACCTGGCTGAGGAAAGCTAGCTTGTAAATCTCAAGCATTCCAGACTCTGAAATTCTATAACTGCTTACATTCCAGACCTAAGAAGGGAGCTTGTCTTCAATCCTATTTGGAAGGCAGATCCTAGCTTACCAAGATTGTTCGTTTCATTAAGAAAACTCTTTTATTTAGAGGCTTGGAACTTGAAAAGATTGACTCTTAACACAGAGGTGGAAAAAATAACTCAGTTCAGAGGAAATTATTGCCTCATGAGAATAAAGTATTTCCCCTCAGTGCTAACCAGAAAAGCAAAGAAATTCAGTGAAGATGGATACCTTGTCACACAAAGGTTACAGTGTTTTCAGACTGAAGTTCAATATAAGATCATTTCTAACACAGTGTTTTAGCGAAGATGGTTAAAGATGTGAACACTGAGCATTCTTCACTCAAGTACAGATC